AAAACGCCTGCATTGGAGGCTACCTGATTCATCACATACCACCTTCTCTCCACTCTGGTCTCACTTATCCCTGGCGCTTCAATCCCAAACTCTTTCATCTCCTTAGCTACTTGCCATGCCTGTGTTGCCTCTGCCATGGTCCCCATGTTCCAGCAACTGATGATCATCTGATGCTTTGGGGCTACTATTTGGGCCTATTGGCCTTTGGGCTTCCCGCTGGCTTTGTCCAATGAGCAGCACTACAGCCCAGCAGTGATATCCCCAGTTAGTGTTCTCTCATTATCAATGCTTCCAGTTTCACCGAAACAATTAGTGTTTTTATGGGGCAGGATCGTTAGCCCTATGCTCAACCCCCAACCAGGAGGGCCAGGGGGTCTCTATCCTTCGACCTTTTTCTGGTATGGTGGCCCTACCAGGAGTTCAAGAATTCCACTTACATAGCACTAGGGGTCACTGAGACGTGTAAACTGCTTCACCACAATAAGGTGGTGACCCTTTTCAGAGCAGTGCAATCACACATAACAAGTAAGAATACCAGTTGGCTGGACGCAAAACAGTTTTAAAAAAGGTTATCATAACCAACATGTCTAGAGCTTCAATTTCCCTCAAGTAGGGTATGAAGCTGCAAGGGTCAGGAATGGTGAGTTGCAGTTCAGTTCCTCGTACCATTTGGTAACATTAAACTTAAATAATTATTGATTGGCTAATGGTGAAACTTTTCCCTCGGGTTACTGCAATCATATTTATTTCAGAAGAGCATCAAGAGCCTGAAGGGCTATAAAATTTTCTTCTCTTGTCAAGGTGATTTGGAATATACTTACAAGGACTCTGTAATTTACATGTAAGGCTTGGGAGCCAAAAAATGGTGGATCACAAATTTAATGAATCATTTAAGAAGAACAAAGAATCGTCATGACTAACCATTATATCAATTTCTTGTTTGCATATTTGTAAATCATGCATATTATTGACTGATATCCTTTTTAAGGCATGTCGCTTTCCGCTAGGAACTCTGACCAGGAACACCAGTGAAAATCCACCTGAAGGGTTCAGTAAGAAAAATGATTTGAGAGTCAATGTATTTAGTACTTATCCTAATTTGTTCTACCTGCAGTTAAATGAGCTAAAAAGCTTTCACATGTTCCGATACAAATAGCTACACTTGTATCTGAAATATCTACATGAATAAAGCCCAGTCCATAACAAACAGAGAAAGGTAAGCCTGTGGCACCATGCACATACTAAAAGTAAAAGACCCCCTCAGCAGTTAGTGTGCTAAAAAAACAGGCTGTCGTTTTATGTTTTGAACAGATAAGAAAATCTTAATTTTTCCAACAACAAAGGGCATACTGCTTGAAGGCTACCGGTCTCCAAGCAAAAATTACAGCTCACCAAGTTTATGTGGGAAAATATCATCAATAACTTCCGAGATAATTATGTGCAGCAGAATGACGTAAACGAATGTTTTCTTTTGGCGTTATGTGGGACGGAGATTTCTTTACAAGACCAGCCTAAGTCTTATTGTGTTAATACGCAATCTGTTACAATTCACACTTTACAGAATTCGCCATAGTCTAACTAATTAATTCAGCTTTTACTGTCAAACAAAATTGTCTTTAACTTAAGAGGCTCTATTAGCACAACATCTTTAAGCTTGGCTGTCATCGTGAAAATTCCTCTTCGATCAACCCCAACTTAAAAACAAACTTAAGCCATCGATGGACATAACTCTAATCAACCAAAAATGAATCAAACCTGAAAAAAGGGCAAACAGGAAAAAGTTTACTTTCAGCTTACCTTCAGCAATGACTTCCTCTACCACACATGGACACCGACCAACAATAAAAGTCTTGCCCACAAAACTGCTGTCGTTACCTCCACCCGAAGAGAAAAACTTCTTCATTTTTTACCCAAATTATAACCCCCCAAGAAAAAATGGCGGTACTTAGGCGTGTTTACATTTTGTAGCGTGAAGCCTTATTCATGATATTAGCACCAATGAGGAAAACTTCGTCTTTCAGGAGGTGATTTAGCCGTTCAAACTTTCGACACGGATAACATGGCCGCAACCTTACCCATAATGCATTGGGGCAATACAGGCTCCGGTGAAACAAAGACTTCCGGTTGTAACTGTAACACTGTAATTTTGGAAAATTGTGGAAAGTAGGCAGTTCTTTCAATCGTAAAGGAACGAAAGTAAAAGGTAAAATCTTTTTTAGATTCAAAGTACTTACAAAGCAATTTTTTCTGAGATTGCGTAAAATACCATCCCATGTCGAACGAGAGAATGCATTATTTGATTTTCAGTATAGATCGTTTTCACTGTCACGCAACCAAAAATAGATTGGAAACCGTCCAGTGGAAGAAGCCAAGAAAATGAAATGTTTTAAAAGACTATATATAAACAATTCGTCCAATTCTCAGGTCTTTGTGGTCAACAGTTTCTGAGTTATTTGTCAAAATGTTTCACGCACCTTTGTAGAGCTTTGTATGGAGACGCCATATTGGTGTAGTGTTTTGGTGCACCAATGGCCGCCGGAAATCAACGAAAACATCTGGAGTTCACTTTTTCTACAAAAGCTCTTTTTATCACTCGAGAACTAGCATACGTACGCATAAACATATCTTCTAATACTCGAAATGGTTATACTGCTGAACTGTCATAGAGGAGAGCCTTTTTTTCAACGAGACAGCATTCCTATTTTGGTGTCACGCACTGTTAAAACTAGGAAGTTCAAATTGCTGTATTTTCGAAATGAAATATGCTACGGGAATGGAAAGTTGTACAAAGATTTAGTTTTTGTTTATCTTCAACCTAGTGTAAATATTAAAGAATTCGTAAAACCTCGCTATTTTGACTTTACAATTTGATGACGTCACTGTTAAAACCATCTATACTTTTCCTTATTTAAATTTTTACGTGTTATCATAGTATCATATTGCATGCTATTTTTCAGTCAATCTGAACGTCTTAGCTTGACCTGCAACAGTAGTCATTGTAGACCCTGAAGAAGCTAAGGAAGGCCGTGCCTTACGAAATATTTTACAGTTGGTAACAAAAAATGGATATTCCGACTGTAAAATCAGCCTTGCTTCTGTTGTTCGAGCAATTAACTAAATTACAGTGCCTATGGAGTCGGGGCGATGGGAAGCTTTAGCCCCTTCCCCAACTTTTTTGAAAAAAATAGACTGACTGTGAAGGGAGTCCCCACTTAAGTACCTAGTCAGCCCCAACCCCCCCACCCCCACCCCTCATCCCCACTTAGTGTGCTCACTCACTGTTCACTAAAGTGCCAGAGTAAAAAGTCGAGATCTTACAGGGCACAGGTACCGTTATCGAATTCTGTCCAAAAACGGTGTGTTTACATTAATACCCAGCAGGTACCGTACCCTCCCCGGACACAAAATGTGTGAACAAAGCCCAACTTCAGTGTTGACTGAACACTGAGTCGGCTCTAGCCTGCATAGCAAGCGTTTCCGCGCGAGTTCGTCGAGAAAGTTGGGAACTTTCGCGCTATAACTCGACTGGAAACGCTTGCTACGCAGGCTAAGTCGGCTCAGGGGCACCCAACGACAGTTCTCCGTGAAATATCTTTTCGGAGAAGCAAATATTGCCTGGAATTTTCTATCACTTGAGTACGGTGGCCCACAGGGGACATGCTGCAAATAAAAAAGTTGCTGCAAATAAAAAAGTTGCTGCAAATTAAATAAAGTTGCTGCAAATTAAATAAAATTGCTGCAAATAAAATAAAGTTGCTGCAAATAAAAAATAATTGCAGCAAATAAAATAAATTGTTGCTGCAAATAAAAGCAGTTGCTGCAAACTAAGTGACAGGAAAGTATGCGCACGCACTGATGGGAAGAGGAGGACTCTGTATAGTTGTATCCTGGGCCCACTCACGAAATGCTTGGCCTAATCCTAAGTGACAGAAAACTTACTTGAGTTCAATGGAAACAATTATCCTCAAACCCATGGAGTTGCATTGGGCATAAAAACAGCAATGACCTTTGCAAATATCTACAAGGCAGAGACTGAAACAGACCCAATCCAACATAGAGATACCAATGGAAACGTTTCATTGATGACATTTCCTTTCTTTGGGAATGTAACAGAAAATATCCAAATTTTTATTAACGAAACTAATGAATCCCATCCAAAAAATTAAGTCCACGGCCGAAATATGAAATAACGAAATAACTTTCCTTGATACAATAGTTTTCAAAGGAGAACATCTCACTGAGAAATCCATCTTCATTGGACATCAAATGCCACTATAAGCCGACTAAAACCTCTCAATATACTCACTTTACCTCGTTCCACCCTTCGGGGGTAAAAAGAAGTTTCAATGAAGGCGAAGAAATAAGATTGATTAGAAAAAAATCCATAAAAAAAACACAACATTTGAAGAGTGCCTTGCGAACTCGAGGCACACGAATATCCTAAACCAGATATAGAAAGGCCGTTGTCAGGGGTCAACCTTGACTCGAGACACTGATCGAGGCTAAAACAAAAACAAAAAAATAAGGAGAGACTATTGCCTTTCGTTGCAACATATAAACCAGCGGCAAAAGATCTTAAAAAGACGTTTGTAGCAAACTGGAGTCTGGTCTAATAAAAAATCAGCCTCTGCGGTGCTGAAAACAGTTTAAGACCTCCGATCATGTCCTACAAAAGACATGCTTGAGTGCAAAAATGTAACTTGAAGGCAGCTAATAATTCAACGCAACCACAAAAACCACATTGGGAGTCCGTGAAGGTCTGTCTTTTACTTCCTTACAACTATACTGAGTCCTCCTCTTCCCATGAGTGCGTGCGCATACTTTCCTGCCACTTAATTTGCAGGAAATATTTTTTTTATTTGCTGCAATTATTTTTTATTTGCAGCAACTTTATTTAATTTGCAGCAACTTTATTTTATTTGCAGCAACTTTATTTAATTTGCAGCAACTTTATTTTATTTTCAGCAATTTTATTTAATTTGCAGCAACTTTATTTTATTTGCACTAACTTTATTTAATTTGCAGCAACTTTTTTATTTGCAGCATGTCCCCTGTGGGCCACCGTACTTGAGGACGGCTAAAAATTTCTAGATGACCGTTCCACTGAATATCTAATAAGTCCCCTACGATTTTCTGAAGTTTAATTTTCACATTTCACCTTAAGTTAGGCTATTTTTCGTAGAGAAAAGGAAACCTAACATTTTCAGACTCACTTAATGCAATAGAGAGAGAAATCAGAAAATGTCTCACTTTCGTAATACGTCAAACTGCATCTAAAATTTTGTCAAGCCCTTGCAATTTCGAAGAGACTCACCTTCCCCTAGGATGAGTACTCTGGATAGCCTAAAAAGCGTTAGGAATTTGTTTAGGAGGAAAGGGTCGTTGGGTGCCCCTGAGTATTGGTCTCTGCAATATTTTCTTTGGTCCCGAAAGGGATCTTGGATTTATTTAGCCTGCGAGCAAACTCTCCATTTGGGGGAGTCGCGAGACGTCACGCGAGAGCAGCACGACGGTACGCGACTCAACCTCGTCCCAAGGGCGCTTTTCTCTGGCTTTGGAGAGCCAGCATATGCCTGTTAGGATTTTTTATTGCTTTCCTTAACATAACTTAAAAACTGTTTTAAAAAGTACACCAGGTATTAATGCTGCAAATGAATAAATGTAAATCCACCCTGAGACTTTTGCTGTTCTGGGATTCCATAAACTTTCCCAATCTATACAAGGCATACAACTCTTGCATTACTGTGATATGTCCTCTCGGAATTTTAACCATTCAGCTGCAGACCATTGTTCTTCATTCAGATTGGGAAATGGTTATCTGGATTGGGAAGGTAAAAATAAATGAAATGACTGTGATCTGCTGAAAAATTTTAACAGCGCTATTCAGTACTTTTTTCCCTTGGTGAAAAAAGTTAAGAACTTTAAAAAAAGAAACCAAAAAGAAAGCGGTGATTTGATAAATGTAAATTTTGCATTTAAGTATCTCTACAGACACAAACAAAAATTCGCAAATAAACGCCTCTGGTCTATATATACAGAGTGAAACTTCGCAGTTAATTAATTGCAAGTTGTTTACTCACTCACAGGCTAATCAGGGGCATTGTTGCAGGTTGGAAAGTACGCTAACAAACATAAAACAACTTTAAGTTTAATTAAGTTGTTCAATGAAAAATACTGAAAAGTATTAAACTCTCTTCTTTTAAGTGATCCCTCGGGAATCGGTACTTGCCTTACATGAAAGCACATCTCTGTAAGTCAGTATACTGAACTGAGTTTATGTAGGCCACTAGACCGCCCTGCACCTTCCGTATACCCAATTTGGGAAATGACAACAGAGAAAAGCAGGCCACAGTTTCCGTACACAGCAACTTTATCACGACAGTTAATGAGTTAATAATTTAATCACACGATAAACAAAGATCACTTTACATGAAACTCAATAGGCTCTTTGGTGACCTTGAACGAAGGAATGTTATCAGCCGCCGCGACAGTGTCGAATGGAAGCAAGCATTTATTACAATCAAGGGAAAATTCAAAATTTAGCGGTGTTTTCATATGGTACTATGGGACGTCGGTGGCTTAACACACTTCTTTTACTATATTTGTTCCACAAAGTAACTCAGGGGTTTAATTATAAATGTGAAATTCTTGAAGAACAGACATGCTTGGGTACCAAGTTGATGTACAACTTCACAACGTTAGAGTTGGTCACTGATTCTCCAACACAACAGGCCGCTAAGGAGAAACTTGGAGAATGGAAAGGCCTAAAGTTTTTATCAAAATGTTGGGCAGTTCTACAGCCGTTATTATGCCAGGTTTATAAACCGAGATGTCAAAACGGCAGTGTTAGATTGCCTTGTAGAGAGCAATGCCATGCTACTAGAAAACCTTGCGAGGTAGTTGAACGCTACCATAAAAAATGGCCGGACTTTTTACAGTGTGATCGATTTCCACCGGGAAATTGTGATGGTGGATCGGTAAGTAAAAATCTTAAGTGTAACATATTTAAACCTCTAAAATCCTAGGGGTAAGCGAGATACCCTAAAGATCAATGAAGAAGAAATGAAAGCGTTTCGGACAAGGGTAACCTTAAACTTACTTTCGAGTCAAAAGATGAACAGTTTCCCTATGTAGCAGAAAAAAACTTTGCAGACTCTGCCTTAAGGGAAATTATGACCTAATTCACGCTAAACTGTCCTCGATAACTTTGCAAATTCAAGATTTGTCATATTAATTTCCAATGCAATTGAAAGCGACAGGGTTGTGTACATAACATTTCAATGCAATTGAAAGCGAAAGGATCATGTACATAACATGTCAAAAGTATAAAGAACGTAAAACAGCTGCTTTCACCGTTTTTCCGTCGCAGATACAAGTACAGGCGATACGTAATGTACATTTTGGAGCCACTCCACTTCAGAATGTAAATTAAATTTTATTTCCAGATAAGCTATACAGAACACTACTAAGAAATTTTCAAGCTGATAATTTTATAGTCAAAACATAAACAATAACGTCGCAACTTGAAGAAGATCAGTGTATGTAGTTGGCCAACTATGATGTTTTGACATTCTTTAGAAGTCCTCTGGCACGTTAGGCCATCTTTTTCAAGTTTTATTGACATGCCTGCAAAAAATCACCAAGAAATTATTAATGATGAAACTTCTTTCACAACTCTACATGAGCATTTTGGGCAGGGAAAAAGGCACTTAGCTATGACTTTAGCATAGAATTACCTTAACAGAATTAATTTGTAAGCATATAAACTAAAGAATATAACCTCACTAAAATATCTATTGTTTTGTTTTTCTCAATGTTGTTGTTGTTATATTTCTTCATGGTAAAGACCAAAGGAACCCAGTGGTACTATCCTCTAAACATGTGAAAAGTGGACAATTCCCATTTTTGCCAATCTCCCTGCCATCAATCCCATTCCAACCTACCAACCTTGTTCCCAGGGTTCTCTCGTACCTGTCCCTACAGAGCAACAGAGGTTAGGAGAGAGAACCTGGGAACCAGGTTGCCCAACTTACCTAATAAAGTTCATCAAACATAGTTAATGTGCACTCCAATTAAAAACACATATGTCTAAATGGCAAAGAAGGACAGTTTATGACAGATGTTATTCATCTAACAGTTATCCACAAAAGTGTGAAATTTACTTTCAGGTAAAAAAATTGGAGCTCAATGAGTCTGCATGTAAGCGACCCCTGGTAGAGACAGAGCATAATTCAAGCTGGTATGAGGGGATAGAGGGCTGTGGAATACAGTGTGAGAATCCCATATTTACCACTGTGGAACACACTAGAATTCATAGATTTGTGGGAGCATTTGGAAGCCTGTCATTTATATGCAGCCTTTTTACCATGGTATGTCATCAGCCCTCTCTTATAACGGTCCCTTCTACTCGTGGAGTTGGTACCTGCCTTTCTTTTAAGTTGACTTTCTATGATTTGAATCAAATTGTAAATATTTTCATTATGAACTTAAGAATAAAAATTAGCAAAAAGAGTTAAACACAATGTCTTGATGTTGAGTCTGATTTTATATATATTTTTTATCTTGTCACTTGATAATGATATCATGGTGACATTGATTTCTTTTATTTTTTTCTAGATCACATTCCTAATTGGATGGAAGTCACAGAATCGCTATCCATCAGTAATTCTGTTTTACATGAACGCTTGTTTCTGTGCTGCTTCAATGGGTTTTCTTATCCAGTTCACTGATGGAGCTAGAAATCGTACAGTTTGTCGCAAGGATGATACAATGAGACTTCAGGAACCGAGGTTAATTTTTAATAAAAATCATGTGTACTCTGTACCTTAATAAATTACCCTAAAACATGCTAAGCACTGAGTCTACACTAACTGAAACCTGATTGAGATACTCTTAGGGGAAGGTGCTTTTTTGGAAGTAGCAGAAACAAAATCACGAATCACTGTTCGACAATTTTTTGCTTAATTTTGGTTCTTTTAGGCCAGATGGTGACCAGAAAACAGCTGCACAGAGAAGCCAACTGCTAGTTAGTCTCAAACACTGGCATTTTTAGGGGAGTTGTATTTCCGGATCATTTGAGGTTTTGACCTGCTGCTCCCCTAAGTGAACATTAGCACTTACTTCTTACGTAGGGCAAAATTGTGACTTTAGGGGAGGAGTAGGTGGTCAGTTACCCAGAAACCTCAAATGATCCTTGTTTCCTTCCTCCTGTGGTGGGGAGTGGGGATGGGTGGGTGGGGAATACTACTTCCCTAAAAATGCCTAGTGGGAGGGTAGGTAACTGCAAGCTGCTGCACCAGCCAAATAACTCTTCCTAACTGTTGATTACCTTTTTCTTCCATGCAGTGAGGATGACTGTTTCCTGTGTATATTTACATTTGTCTTGGTTTACTATTTCTCTATGGTGGGTGCTGTGTGGTTTGTTATCCTTTCTTATTCCTGGTCGATCTGCTTCAAATCCCTGGGTAGCACAAGAGACAATTTTGCTGGTAAAGTGGTTTATTTTCATGCAGTAGCCTGGATTCTTCCTCTGACCTGGACAGTTAGCATTCTTGCACTAAAACAGGTACAGTCAAACATGTGAAAGGGAGGTGCCTGAATTGAAGCTTCAAGTGACTTCTGATTACAGCTAGACTCTCCTTCAAATGTAACTCAAAGGGAGAATTTGAGACATATATTAGTCAAAAGTCACTTAAAGCCTAATTAAATGCACTCCTTTGTTATTACAATTTTCTTAAAGGCCAATTTATTTTACAACTTTTGTCACATGCATCTGTGCTTATGATAAGCTAACAACATGAGTTGTGCCATGTCAGTCAAACCTATGACAACTGCAATTTTTTTATATCCAGTAGGTTTGATTTACACAACTCAGGTCACAGGCTTCGACAATGCATGTCAGATGCAACAATGTTGCATTTAAATCAGTCTTACAAGTAACTTTAACGGTAATCACATACTCAGTGGTTACTGTTAAACCCAGCGTCAATAATAAAGTGCTAACCGATTTTGAATTGCCACTTTAAAAAACAATAATATTGGTGATTGTGGGAGTAGGTGTGGGGTGGAGTAAGGGGGAGGTGGAGAGGTGGGAAGGGGTATTAATGTAGTTGTGACAGTTTGTTAATATTACCATTAAACTTAATATTTTATTTTCAGGTTGATGCAAATTCACTAAGTGGAATCTGCTTTGTTGGCTACAAGAATTCCAGAATGAGAGTGGGTTTTTTGTTGGTACCCTTGGGTGTTGATTTACTAATTGGAGGACTCTTTTTGATAAAAGGTACAATGTTGTAGTTTTTAAGCTGTGTCAGAATTTATTAAATATGGCTTTGAAACCATAATAACATTGAAATCAGATAAAACCTAGCCTCCTTCGTGGGCAACTCCTTTTGCAGTGGTTACACTGACCATGAAGAATCTGAGGATGAGAAAAGGAGAAAAGAATTGTTCTCTAAAAGAGGACAGTGATGCCTGCGGAGGAGGCTAAATAAAACCCAAAAAAATTAATAATGGGTCAATTTTATTTAAAATCAACCAATTTTCTACCTACACTATGAATGCATGCCCTTTGCTTTGGAAAATCAGGAAGGAAATGGATTTGCAACGTGAAAAAGTTGGAACCACTTTTCTGAGTTCAACCCTTGTATTGTGAAAAAACAAACAAAAACTGACGACTTACTACAAAGACTTCAAACAACAAAACTATCAGTCCTACCAAGGTTTTTACTTTAATGATGCATTAGAGCAGCTGAAAACTAATTTTCATACAAATTCAAAAAGGTTCTTCGTTTTGTGATTGAGTATGCTTGAATTTCTTAACTTTTGCATGACAGCCAAGAGAGGTTAAAAAAGTTTAAAAGGTTAAAAAACTGATTTATTTCAGAGAATTTTGTTATCTGAACAGTTTATGCATAAGTATTACTTTAATGTTTCCGAGTTCCTTGAGGAATAAATTCACGCTTTTGTAGCAAAACTCAGTAACAGAAGTTTCTGTTGGTTTCCATCCACCATGTTGGTGCCCACCTGGATGGGCACCAGCATGGCATCTCCATACAAATCTGTATAAATATGGGTAAAACATTTCTCAGGATATCGTGTATACAAAATATTCCTCTGACCTGAATCTTGTCAAGGGTCTTTGCATACTTACATGTACCTGCTTTTCCTGTACCTCCATTTCCCAGATTCTGGACTTAATCTACTGAAATTTTGATCTATTTTGAATGGCGTGAAACTGAACTCAGAAGACCAGCAATAAAAAAAGATGACCAAGGTTTCAGCCCAGCTTTGGCTCAAAAAAGTGCATGACCATGACATACATTGTAGCTCTTTTGAAGTCTAATTAAGAAACAAAGAGATCTCTTAAAGATGGACTCGAATATCATTTTTTTAAATTCATTAAGTCTATGTATGGTATGTTCTGATGGGAATAGACCTTTGTCACGCGGCAGCCATTTTGTCTCAGGAGATTTAAAAAGCTTTGTTTATGCACGTCTAGCCTTGAGAGAGAACGAGGCTAGCCATACATAGACAAAGCTTATATTTCCTGAGACAAAATGGACACCAAGTGACAAAGGTCTAAAACTACTTACCGTACATTTCATCATCATCATCATCATCATCTTTATTTCAAGTCTTCTCAGGCTACAACATTGCACCATATGCCACTATCTATCAAATATTGCCCTCAACACTGCAGCAAAGATAAGACATACAGTGTGTATGTCCCGTTTGAGAGCATTGGTGTATGTTTTTGTTTGTCTCCCTTGCAAAGCCTGACCATGTTCAGAACTTCGTGTTTCACCTATTGTTACTCTAATTTCCTTCTTTTGGTAGGAGTTGCAACTCTCTTTAAGTTACGAAGATCAAATCCCACTCTTTTAAGCAGCAGAGCATCTTACAAAATAAAGGAAACTATAATAAGAGTAGGTAAGAAGAAAAGCTGGGATTTAAACTGTTTGTTGTCAACTATCAAAAATCCTATAGCTCAAGGCATATATTTTGTCAGCATTCTATTACATGTATAAGTGATCTGATATGTCAAACCCTTTCTTTTCAACCATGGTTAAGTTTGTCTTTTTCCTTCAGCAGGTAAACTGTTATCATCTTAATTCTGCATTTTCTACTATCATGCAAACTGCTTGTTGCTCTTACTACATTATCCAACCATTCACTTCCTTATGATTGGATGTACCTTCTCTCTCTCTCTGTTTTTCTTTCCCTTTTTCTTTTTTTCAAAAAAGTTGTTTGAAAACAGTCTGTGCAAATAATGATTTTTTTTTATGCTTGTTAGGTATCTTTTCCTTCATCTCATTTTTGACAGTCTTCACAACTTTTGCATGCCATGTTTATGAATATCACAACCAGGAAACTTGGGAAAAAAGCTACTTTAACTTCATCAAGTAAGTGCAGGAATTGTGCTGTAAGTCAATAATATTGCCAACACAGGATTTGTCTAAGATAATTACAATCTCGTTAAATTGAATGAGTTTTGGCAAAAAAAGGTCCTTTAGTGACTAGTTTTTCCTCCAAAACTCTTTTAGACTGTTCACAGTCCTCTAATTTTCCGTAACATCATCGAGATCGAGCGCTTTGCGTTACGGGCTACCATTTTGCATGAGTGTCAAAACTACTTAGGGGGGGGGGGTAGTTTGGGAGGAAGCGAGAAAAATAGAGGGACTGTAATAACATCACTGCAGCTCGCATTCAGGAGGCGTGACAGGAGTTTCAAGCCTTTTACCATTCATTAATTAGGAAACTCCGCTGGTGATGAAAAACATGCCAGACACATATAGCATTAATTACGCATGTTTACAAATATCTCCTTTCGAAACAGTGATTTTATAATGTTTCTAGGCCATTCCTCGAAATAAAATCAGCAAACATACACAAGAAAGCATTTTTCTAATCAAAATACCAAAAATCCTTCGTGTGTTGGTGCAGGATGTGCCTTATGCTATGAAAGCGTACGTTTTATGGAAACGTCGACTTGTCAATGACTTGTCAGTGTCGGCAACTTAAACTAAACCCGTTGTCAACACAAATTAACATCTATTGTCTAACGACCAATCAAACGCCTGCGTTGCTGGTACAATGCGCTCCGTGAAGGCGAGCTGCAGTGATGTTATTACCGTCCCTCTATTTTTCTCGCCCCCCCCCCCCCCCCCCGAGCTATAGTCCCCGATGCCCGCCCCCTCGGTACATGTGAAAATCAAGATAGCCGTGACGGTAAGACGCGGTATATCTGAACGATCTCACTAAAAAATAGGGGACTGTGAACAGTCTACTTTTGAATGTGCTTCTAAAATAAAATGACAGGGAGTTTTTGGTGTCAGATCAGAGTCCAGCATAGCCTATTTTCCATGCACCAATTCAATAAATCACAAATTAATCTTAACCTTTGGTAAGATTTAATAACATATTACCAGGGTTGTCAGAAAGTTTTGAAGAAGATGGCTGAGCTGTCAAAGTAAGCAGCCAGTCTAGGGATAATTAGTATTTTAAAACACCATCCGTAAAGAAATGCCACGCAGAGTAGCTGGCCAATACTAACCAAGTAGGCAGCTATTTTCACAGGCCGCCCACTACCTTTGACAACCCTGTATTACTATTTTAGTAATGTTACGTTACTCTTACCTGCTGTACGCTTTCCTTTCAAAGGTGTATTGCAGAGAAAGCCGTTGAAGGACTAACATGGAAGTCACACTGTTCAGTTAGCGACCGTCCTAATCTAGGAATTATTGAGCTGGAACTGGCTTCATTATTTGGCACTGGAATTGCTATGAGCAGCTGGACTTGGACATCAAATACATTGCAGACCTGGCAAAAGTTATGGCGCAGGTCATTATTAATAGTAACATACTGTGCTGGGTTTAATTTGCAGGCCAGTGTAGATGTGGCTGCTACTGAAGATGTTAGGATTATGACCAGGGTCCAAGTTTTAAGACCTTTGTCACACCTACAATAAAACCTATTAATAAAACCCTTTAGCTTGTGAAAACAGATGTCTCTCCTCACCTCTAGAGATATCAAAGACGGAACATCCGTAGCCACGAGGAGTGAGGGTGGAGGAGAGAGGGCTGTTTGCACAGGCTAAAAATCCCTGGATTTGGAGTAATCCCAACACATTGCCTTCTGATGGCTTGTGAAACATTAGGTAAATTTGACTTTGCACCACAGGTCACTCAAGGCTTGCACCCACTCCAGCCTTATTGTACAAGGCTCAATCACTTCCAATCTTATTTCCTTGTCACTGTGATTTTTCTCTAAGAAAGTACACTTGTGTAGCCAAGGTCCAAAATTGAGGCTGCTTGTAATATTAGACCTCTCCACTTAAGTATTGAGAATTCAAATATATCTTCGTGCAGAGATATTTTCATCTTAATCGATAATAATGTGTTGACAGTAATTTGGCCTCTGCAATTCCTCTGTACTTCAAGTGTGCAATGACTGAATAAACTATTATGCAGTTAATCGTCAAAACTCACAGTAAACTCTTATTACTTGTGCAGGATAACACGGAAACGCAGGCATCCAGAACTTAGTCACTACAAAACTATCAGGAGAATGAAAAATAGAATAGCGTAAGTACATTTATTCTCCTGTTAACAATTGCAGTGCATTTATGTATGGAAAATGGGTGCCTGGGATGTCTGGGGGCCTCTGCTGTCACCGGCTTGTCCCTAGACAGATACCCCCCCCCCCCCCCCCCCCCCCCCCCCCCCCATCCGGGCACCCCCCCCCCTACCCCCCCCCCCACAAACACGGCCCGACCAAAACCAACCCAGGATTTTATGGGGAAAAAAAAAAAAAGGGAAAGGGGGGGAAAAAAAAAAAAAAAAAAAAACACCCCTAAAAAAAAAAAAAAAAAAAGATTTGAGATCAACCAAACAAAAACCTGAAAGAACAAGGACATCCCCCCCCCCCCTGCACCCCTGGCTGCAATGCTGGCAACCCAGCCATGAGCCCCTCACCACACAGAGTCGTCCAGGCAATAGTCACACTGAGTTTATGGTGGAAAATAAAGGAATGGGAAAGGGCGCGAAAAATGAAAATAAACAATGCACTCCTCAGAAAAAAACTGAAAATGTGCTTTGGAGCTACGACCAAGAAAGCTTGGAGCAAGTGCTGAACTCTGCTGCCGCTGACTGCCATCGGTTGCTCTTTGTTGTTAACTCAGTTAAATTTCATTTCACTGCATCAGAGTCTTGGTTAACTTACTTTATTATACGGTTAGTTGATACACATCCTGTGCGACTGGTTAATTTATTAAATCCTTCCTTTGTAATAGCGGACAAAAGAAAACTTTGTAAAGGAACAAAAACCTTTCTTTGAGTAAATCCTTTAGAATATAAGCTTTAATAGTACCATGCAAATGTTCTAATGAAGAAATTCTGCAATTTCTACTGTTGTTGTGAACTACTGACAGTAGGTATTCTAAGCAAAATAATAGCCTGGGGAAATAGCATAATTTGCTGCATCAAAATTGAAAATTTTTTCACACCTTATTACAAGGCCTGCATTCTGTTGAGTGGTTACTGACATGTAAAATGGTTTCTGTTTATATTCCAGCCCTGCCATTATATATCCTGTCATTCCCGACCCACATATACAACTAGATGGAATTAAAAAAGCAGGGGAAACCATTCAAGCTTGTGGCTTAAATAAGAAACAAAGTTACCAGCATGAAGAAGAAGATGATGATGATGAAGAACCACTAAGACTTAAGAGTTTTTCAGAATGGACACCTCAAGAAAACAATAGTTAACAGATTTAATACGTTGTGATTTCAATGTGTCTTTGTATTTTGTCTACATTACAATAGACCACCATAACCTTCAGAGTAAAGACTATATTCAAATCACAACAGGTACATATAAAGGAATTTTTTGTTCAAAGGTATTTTGTAATATAAAAATAATTACATTAACATATTTTATTTATTAGTAAGATTCTTGCACATGCAAAAGTACATGTATAAAAAACTCCTATTAACAGCTTTCCGTGACAGTCACTAACATTTCCTCTGTCTTGAAGGTTTTCTGCTTTTATGGGTGTCTACTTTGAATAATTTTTTAGGCTTTAAGGCTTTTTCTGATCAATTTAGACATCTTGTAGACAACTACCCAATGTTAGTTAACATGAAAACTGTGACAGAGATGGTTCCTTACTGTTTAATGATCTATTATCATGAATAGGGCAATTAAGTAGTTGTCTGACTATTTCAAAAAGAAGAGTACCTGTAACCTTGGAAACAACCCCGTTAAGATCAAGGATTCAAAACTGACCATTACTGAGTTCCAGAAACACTCACGTTCAAAATAAGGCTAAGCGCAAAATATTTCTTGCGAAAATGAGTTTTATTTGCACGAGAATAAAAAATCATTTTCATATCCATTTCTTTGCACTTAGCCTAGCTTTGAAACAGAGGCTTGGGGCAACTCGGAAATGGCCTATTAGAATAGTTACTACAAGATTATAGCTATAAATTATATTCATTAACATTACTAGTACTTTGATAGTGTAAATGAAGAAGAAAGGGTCAGGTGCAGATTTAATATTATCTGAAACGACGGGTAAGAAAGTGCATTACTGATAGCACTATGTATCTACAATTTAGTTACTGCTGTTATTTTCTATACTATTAAATTTTCTTACCTTAGATTTACTTTGTTACTGTTCCAATGTTATTGTTGCTTTACAAGTGAAGACCTACAAACAATGTGATGTATAAATGTATGTCAGCTTTGTGATACCATTACTTTTAAAAAAGTAGGTGAGTTTAAACTTAGAAGGTAGTCCAATAAAACTGATTTTACTGTTCATGACTATAACTTTTAAAGATGGATGCAGCATACCAATATTTCTAGTTATGGCTTTAATTCACTCTTTCTATTATCACTGACAGAGAATACATAGAAAGTTTGTTATCATAACACAGTTGTTTGGCAATAGTTTATGTCTGTGTCTTCTATTCCTCCAAGACTTACGCTTTCTGTAAAGCAAACAGTAAAACAGCAAATAGACTTCAACCTAAGAAGTTAATACATATAGTCAAACCCCAAGTTTGAAGATATGCATTTTGTGCAATTCCTACATTCTTATCTATTAATGCATGCAAGCCATGATGTAACTTGTGAACTCACTGCACTAAAGTCCAAAAACGCAAACATAGGACTTCACATTTAAGTAATACAAAAAGTTAAGCTCCTAAAACACTGGAATCATTCATTATTCATCATTCATCATTCACAGTACCTGTAATACTAGCCCAAACATCATTTCAACCAGCCCCCAAAATTGCTTTCACTTTTAATTTGAATTCCTCAAAAAACTTCACTTGCCCACCGGGCAAATTAATAACAGAATTCACTAGCCCGATAGCAAAATCCACTAGCCCCAAGCTACTGGACACTACTATCTTTGCACGCTAACAATGTGATAGCATGGTTGTTAAATTAATTTTATTGTGGTTTCAGTGGTGACAACATAATTTGATACTTCCAGTCATAAGACAAGAATAACATTGACCAGGGTAAAAAGGTTTCAATTGGCAGTATATGAAATTTATTGCAGCCTACGGTGTATGAATGTGCAGTAATCAATGTCAGTTATGATCCTGTTAGCTCAATAACTGAGTGCTGAATTATTATGGTCTAACACAGGACATAACTTTCTTGATGAGCAGACTGTAAACAATTAAATGATCTCGTTTTTTCCCTTCAGAATCATTCACACAAAACAGATAATATCATTCAAGTTGGTAGTGGTTAAATTTTGCTGCAAAATCCCTGTTAGTCCTTGCAAGTAGTTCTCTTGTCTCCTGAAGCCTCTTATGAACATTCACTACTGTGTTTTTGGTTGTGGAGTCAGCAAAAACCTCTGAAAGTTTTGAAGCTGACGGAAGTGGGCTAATAACAATAACATCATCTTGCTTGCTTGATGAAACAGCTTTACTTTTGCTTGGTGTTTCTTCAGAGTTTATTTTATTCTCTTTATCATCATCATCATCATGGTCATTATCAGACTTGTCCGAAGTAGATGGTGTGTTGTCATGGGAGGACTCTAAAACTGTGTTATCTCCACTGCCAGCTGATGTTACTATTTCTTTAAACAGTTTCCTACCAGTGGTATTTTGCTTGAGCCCAGTTTTGTCATTCCCTGTATGATTGTTGATTTCTTCATTTGTCAATGCATTTGTAGCTAAATCTTTGTCACCATGAAGATTAAAACCAGACACAACTGACACAATGTCTTTTTGTAAAGTACTGTCTTCGCTTGTTGGTGGGTGATTATTACAAGAACAGCATGGTTTTTTTTCACAGGCTTCTTCAAGAAGCTTCATTCTGCTCTCCAGAAGCACCACTCGGGCTGACATTTCATTGTTTAACAAGGTCATGGCATCAAACTTCTCTTGTAATTCCTGAACTTGTTGTTTGAGGACAACAACCTGGGTCACATTCTCAACACTTGAAGATGGATGTGCTGAAACAGCAACATTTGAAACAGCTTCAAATGAATTTGAATGTCGTACAACTTTTGTGGCTGGAAGGTTATCTTCTACTACTGGGACTTTGTATGCCTGCAAATCTGACTCTCTTTGACAGCTTAAAATAGGAACAGTGGAATGATGAACTCCCTTAATGACAGGTGTAAGCATCAAGTCAGGACTTGGTGTAGGGGCTGTTGTCATGCATACTGGTGATGGAATAGATTGAGGCCTTGTTTGCACGTTGACAGTAGTATCCAAGTCCATTGGATAAGACAATACTGATCTCTCTGAATAAGGGATGGTGTGAATTCTTGCTGGTACAGAGATTGAAGGATTTGGTCCACAGGACAATGGAACTTCTAAGGGAAGTGCTTCTGCTGATTTGGTTGGCCAGGGCTGAGATTCCTTGGCTTGATCCTCCCTAGTTACTGACTTCCCCTGAGAATGTCCAGTAATCCAGTTCAACTGAGGCTGTTGACAAAAATTTGATCTAATTTCCAGGTTTCTTGACACTGGAAATTTAACACCAAATTGGCATTCATCACTAACAGATTTAACAACCAAATTTGATGGAACAGTACCACTGCTTTGATCTTTGCCAGGTGTTTTAGAGCAACATCTTGTAGCTTCTTCACTATTCATAATGATATCATCCTCATCAGGAATCACTCGAGTTACAAGAGGTTCTGTTAACCCCAAGCCGGCTTCTGTTGCTTCTTTGTTGCTCTGAAATCTTTTCATGTCTGTATTCACTGGAAGTGGCCCAGGAAAGTAATCATATCTGGCTATAACGTCTTTAATAACTGAAGAACTCTCTTTCTCCGTGGTACCTTTACTGGTCAGGTGTGAAATGTTCCTTCCCCGCTTTCTTTCACTCTTGGTTTTGGGATTAAGCTCATCATGTTTTCCTCTCAAAAGTTTCAGAATTTCACAAAGAGAGAGGATCTTTCTTTCCGCAAAGCCGATTGTAAGAAACTGTTCTTTTGTAATTTGAGGTTTGTAACCAAATTCGTCTCGAAGAACTTTGTATACAGGTTCCATGAACCGCAAATCTGTTTTCCCATACAGGTCGTACTCTTTATTGGCAAAGTACTGGGCCAAAGAAATTGAGTAATCCAGAAAGACATGATGAACAACTGGAAGAAACGCTTTTGGAACTCCCTGAGCAATTCCTTTGAGGTCAAGTTCACTTTGAGGGAAGTGAACTTGTTTCAGCTCTGAAACAAACTTTCGAAGGTTGTTTTTTAGGTCTCCAGTAGTCATGGTAAAGAAACTCTTTTCTTCTTTGACATTTACTAGCCTCTTTCAGTCCGTTGAGTTTACCGCCATTTTGAATTTTCGAATCTGCAAAGCATCAGCGGATATACTTTTGAATACTTGCATACATGACGTACTTAGCTTGAATTTAACGCGCCTGCGATCAATAATCAAGATGGCGGACACAGGTTTTCGTTTTCCTCGTCGCAAGAAAGGTGCTAAATCCCACCCAAAAGATGCTCCATTTCCTGTTCCCATTCAAAGTATCACGTCCAAAGAGCCTTGCAGTGAAAGATGGTATTATTACACTGGACATTTCAGAGATAATTGTGTGGTAATTGAAGATCTAGGCGACCTTACTTTTCTCTATAGGATGGTAAGTCTCCAGGGGTTAAGTAAATCATAACTTTGAGGTATATTTACGTTTACTTTTCAGCACATTTAATATACTAGAGTTAAAATATGAATTAACTCTATGCCTGCTTAGTTCAGATTCCTATTCCATTCCCAAGCCTTGTCTGATGTTTGTGGTGTTGTTACTTTTAAACGGAACGCGCACTTATACTGTGTTTTTATGTTGCAGGGTTTCTTTGGTAAAGGTTTCCTATCAAGAAGTAAACCTGAATATGAAGTGATTTCAAATATTTCACAAAAGGCTTTTTCAAAGTCTGAAAAACTAAGAAGATGTAAGTGCAGAGAACTGTTAATTTTAATTGATCATATATTAAAATGTTCCGGAAAAAAGATTACTATAGCATAATAACTTTGTAACTTTATTATTATATAAATAACAACTTTTATTTTAGCCATATGTTTTCTATTTCTCATAGTACCACCAAAAGAAAGAGAAATCAGACAATCAAAGTTTCGAGTTATAAAAAAAGAACGGTAAGAACTTATTAACTCTCTTGCCACCTAATATTTTAGACGTTGATTCGACTGCCAATAACGTTAAGCTTGCTGCAAATGCTTTTTTTTTTACGTGATGGCTGATATGCTGACTTTTAACCTTTTTTATTATTTATTTTATTTTATTTTCTTTTCTTTTCTTTTCTTTTCTTTTCTTTTCTTTTCTTTTCTTTTCTTTTCTTTTCTTTTCTTTTATTTTATTTTATTTTATTTTATTTTAGTTTTTTCTTTGGAAGCTTGTAGATGTAGATGTACAACAAAATTGCTTTTAAACCTTATGTAAGTTTCTTTTGACCTAGGATTACATTATTAATATTCATTTTTTTACATCGTACATCTTTAATTTCAATTATCAGGTTTAAAAATCATAAGCAATGGTGGGAACAGATAAATGGTGCAATTCTCACGGATGATCCTTTGAAATTGGAGGCTGAAGAAGCTGAGGAGGCTGTAGATACTTGCATAGAACGTCCCCAACATCATCAAGAGATTACGGTTGATTCAGAAAATATTGAAAGTCTTCCTAATGAAGAGGATGGAAGTCCATCTCCGAAAAGAATTAAAATGGACATTTTTTGTAGTGAGAGTGAACTTCATCATGATCATCAGGATGGAAGCTGTACTGAAGAGATCAGTGTAAACTCAAGCGATGATGAAGATAGTACCAGATGTAACTCAGGGGAAGACACTGATGCAGATGTTACTAACAGAGAATTGGAAGAGGTTGTTCATGATGTCATGAGGAAAAGGTGTTGATCAAGCCCTGAATACCATATTATTTCATTCGGCTATGTGAGAAGAGTTGTCCAGTAGAGCTAGGGTACATGTATGAACAGTGAAGTGTGATTGGGGAACTGCTCTGTTAATATTATACGTGAAAATGTAAAGTTCAACCTCCCATAAGCAACCACTTAAAATGCAAAGAGTTAGTGTTCACTTACTGGAGGTGGTTGCTTACAAGAAATATTGAACTACATAGGCTCTCTCCAAGAAATGGTTCTGACACATGTGCTTTTTGGAAGAGAAATAATTGCAAGCAATTTCTAAGTTTGATATATTTGTAGTTCCATGTTGGCATTGAAAGTTTTTTTGCATACTCAGAGTGGCTTAAGTACATTTTAGCAAAAAAAGAGACTTCACCAATGCAGAAAGTGGGCTCTTACAAGTGGTTAAAAAATGGAAAATTTTTCAATCGTGAGCCCCAGAAGTGTTTGTGATTGCTTAGGAGAGTTGGTCGTTTACAAGAGGTTCTAACTTTAATAGGGCTTTGACTGCGAAAAATTTGGTCTTTTGGAGAAGTAGTCGCTTATGGGAGGTGGATGATCACTTAAATAGTACAGGTGTAATATTGATCTATTGTCTTTCAAACCAGTAGTCAAAACAAGTCTGATAAAGTGAATGAAGATACCAAACAAACACAAATTAAAAGCAAAGGCAAAAAGCAAGAAGACCCTTACAAAGTCTTTGAGCATCTGCAACTGAGTTTGGAGGAGGTTTGCAAAACTTTCAAAGTTTATTAAGTATTGCCTAGTTTCAAACCAAGGGAGAAGACTGGGTACAATTCGCTTTATTATGGGATAAACAACACGAGAACCTTGTAGTCAGAAAGAGCACATTGAGGTTAGCAGCATTCTCAAGTTTGGTGTTTACCGGGCTTACAAAATGTATACGAGATACAGCCATTCAAAAACTTCAGAACTTACTAAGAAATATAGAGATGTCCAGCCCAGCACTCTATACATCTCTTATTAATTTTCAAGGTTTTAAATGGCTATATCTTGACTTGTTCAGTAACTGCCCGATCAACACCGAACTTTAGAGATTTCTTCATCTCAATGAGCTTTTCCTGACTATGTGGGTCTCATGTTGTTTATCCCATAATAAACTGAATCATACCCAGCCCTCCTCGGTTTGAAATTAGGCAAATAAAGATTTAATATACACAGATAACTGCTTAACTACATGTATAGATCAAAACTTCATGTACAGGTCACAGATGACATAAAACAAAAGACTTCTTTGTTTTCTGTTCAGGGAAAAATCAGTGCTTGGTTTTGTTTCATGGTTTTTGTTTTTGTTTTTGTTTTTTTGTCATCTGTGTCCAGTACATGAAGTAAGTGCCTAACTATAAGCCCAAACATATAACCCACACTCTAAAACTATGTGAGTTATCTTGACTTATATTTAGGGTTGGGAGAGGAGACGTGGAGCCTGTTGTCTCTTTAATATTCTTGTTCAGTTCTGTAACTTTCTGTTTCAGTTCTGTACATGTACTATAGGTGTATGTATTAAACTCTTCTAGTTCTCCCGATCCTTTTATGTATTTGTATATACTCTACAATGTTTCTAATTTTCCAGTCTTTCAGTGAGAAGAACCAGTGAAAGATTACAACATTATCTGATGCAATTTGACTTCTAATTCAGTTTATCTTGTAGGCATTTTTCCTCTCTTACGGACTTGGATGCCTCTCAGTATTGGATAGCAATAAGGTAGGCAGTATGGCCTAATATTTTAAGGTGGTTAGCCTTTTATTTGATCAAATTGTTAATATCAAATTAATTAACCATTATGTTTTGATTTTTTATAATAGAAGCCCATGTCCTTGAGTGAAATGTGGTGTTCATTTTGCACTGGTAAAAGAAATTTCCTTCCAAGTTATATAACTTATCACTACTTCAGATCAAAAGGCTGGGTGCCTAAGATAGGAATCAAGTATGCAACTGATTTTGGTAAGATTATTGATCAGAAGCACTTTTTGAATACACATTGTGCATGTCTCAACAACATCCTTAAGGCAGTTGTCTAACACTTGAGGTGATAATGTAAACCCAGTAGCAGGGGTAGGGAGCCCAGGATTAAAAAAGAAAAAAATAGTGTAAGGTTCAAAATCAGCCATTAGGCAACAAAAATGTCTGGAACCTAATTGAATGAATTAAGCAAAGAGCCTAATTCAAGAGATTCTTAAATTTGCTGGATACAATAAATAATAATTTTTTTGTATATTTGTCATTAAAGTATGAATATGTTTTTTTCAGTTCTTTACAAAGAGGGCATGCCCTTTTACCACTCAAGGTAAGGGTTTTATAATTTTTGCACATTAAGAACATATTCTCTTCTTTTTTTTTTTTTCTCAGTGATATCAACCAAGAAAGTAAATAAAATTTTAAAATTTTATTTTAATAATTCAGCCTATGGCTGCAAGGTATTAAGACAATAAAGCATCTATCTATCCATTTTATTAATTTATCACATATCTTTTCTTTCCTGTTTGATTCTGAATCTCTGTACAGCCACCCCCTCCCCTCTTAGTCTATCTTGAGTTAATTTCAATAAAATCAAAATAGCAAGTGTACCCATTTTCTTTCAGTTATTCAGTCATTGTCCAAATGGTTGACTCACAATCACTGGAAGTTGACAAAAACAGCAATCCTTGTAGGCAGCTATCATGGCCTCAGTTGTGTGGAGTGAGTCGTGTCAGTGGTCATGCTGCTAAGGTGAGACACCAAACTCTCACAGCTCTAAATCCATTTTTCACTTCTTTTCCCTTTCTTTCATGTTTGGCAGCCTTCCTCTATAACTGTGGTACGTAGCCCTCAAGAATATTAAGCAAACTGCCAAGGAGAATCCATGAAATCCTAAACAGTACAGACTGTTACCAGCCCTGTCAAAATGTATTGTGGCAAATTAAAGGCCAGCAAGAGAAGTAGGTAGCAAAATATTAATACCAAGTCACCCCGGTCTACTGGAGGAGATAAGCAGATTATTAAAGTAGCTGGGACATTTTGACAGAGCTGTTATTACATATACATGTCTGTAAATATAGCCATTACCTAAGAAGTGAGTTGCCATTTTATTCCCATGTGTAACAACTAAAAAATGAAATTGAACTCAAAGTATTTTTTACCTCATGCAAAAGTGGATCATTCTAATTATAGTAAATTGTTTGTTTTTAGGAAGTGATGATATGTTATGTCATTAAACCATCAGGTAAGCATGTTTTCAGGGAAACAGCTTTCCTCTATAAACCTACAAAAACTCTGGGCAAGGTGCAGACTAATTAAGGCACTTCAAGAATACTGAAACATTTGCCCACGTATTCTATCTTTGTCAGATACAAGAACAAGGGCTACACTGCAAATTCTTTTAAAACAAATGTTGATTCATTAAACACTAATGCTTGGACAATTCATGCTCTTTTTTTGTTTCTTTTTCATATTATTGTAAGTAGATATGACCAAAGAAGAAATGATGTCACCAAATTGTATCCCAAGATTTAAATTACAGGTAAGTTTCTCTGGTACATGTAGCTCTGTCTAACCCTTAGGGAAGTAAGCCATAGCCTGCTTAGCTCAGCAGGACTGTTATGTGCAGGGTACTTTCTTTGCAGTAAGTGGAGCTGCAAGGGAAATTCAATAATCTCCGCCACTAAAGCACAAACAGCACTCACCCGCAAATCCCACCAGCTCTATGCAGGCTAACTAAGCCTGTAAGGAGGCCTTTTTAGGTGGGGTTGGGCCAAGGAGGAGGGGGGGGTACATATGTCCCTAGTCTGAGTTTTAAAACCTATGTCCCTCTCCCCATTTTAACATTGTACAGTGGAAGCTCCTAACACTCTAGTAAGCGGACAGCTCTACTTACAGCCTCCTGCCCAAGACCCTGCTTTTTGCAGGCTCCTCTTGGTACCTGCAATCCTAATCTCCAAGTTGTTATTACGCATGTGTCACTTGTATGTAGCCAGCATTTAGGACTTCCACAAAGAATGTTTGGAATTCACAGAATGTACTTCGATCATGCACGTCTGGGACCCACTATCACCTGTAATCTGATCACGCGTGTTTTGACCACCTGTCTCATGAAACTTACACAAAGAACAGCCCCGGAGCAAAAGCATTTTGTCGCCTGCACTCCGTAACCTTTACAATTTACAAACTCTGTATTTTTACATCCCAGTAAGCAGCCAACTCCAGTTACAGACACCTTTTTTGTGTCCTGAGGGTGTCTGATCACGAGAGCTTCCTCTAAGATTATTTGCTTTTTTGTCACTGTCACAGTTTCAATCCATGTTTGTGTTGTTTGTCGCAAATTCAGCTGTTATATCGCTGTTTCAAGGCCATGTCATTAGTCAAACTTATACCCTAACAGGACCTTAGTAAGCTAGTAGGAGTTTTGTATGCCATTAACCGGCTCTGGATTCACTCTTACTAATAAAAGGCTAGCAGTTCAAACACCAGCCTTTCAATCTTTGTACAGCTGCCCCTTTTCCCCCAATAAAATCAGAAGACTCCTTCCCCAATTTGTATCTTGGTGAGGGGACAGCTCAACTAAGCAGGCTAAACTAACCTTATCAACTCAGTTGATATCACCAATGTTTGTGTTAAAATATTGTTCTGTCCCCAGAAATCTACACTACTGTAGGTAGTAACAAACTCAGGGGCAGCAGGGTTGTGCTTGTGCAGTGCCTGGTTGCCCGCCCCTGGTGCCTTACTTTTGCTGGATCATCATACGTTTCTGGGAAACTGCCCACCTACCCCTCCCCTAAGCATTAACATTAACACTCACTTCTCACTTAGGGGAAATGTTGGCTTAGAGGAGGGAGGGATGGGCAGTTTCCCAGAAATATGTAATGATCCCTTTTGCTCTTGGATGACTGGGAAATCCTATGCTGGTCACCCTGAATTTCACAGGATTAGAGAACCAGCTTCCCTTTGATTTTTCTTATGGTGTAGCCTTGCAGGATGCACAATTTTATTGAACTTCCTTCTGATTTTTTTTCAACAGGAAGTTGTTCTTCGAAGGTGGATTCCCAAAAGAGCAAGAGAACCAGACAAAGACAGAACTTAATGAGATAATACAATGTTAAATTATGACATAAACAGAAGAATAAAGAATAAAAGAAAATAACTTCAAAGGCACTGCTTCATCTTATCAATAGCGCAGAATAATACATGGCTGCATGGAGACAGAGATTTTATCTCAAAGTGTCAAGAGCAGTGAATCAGAGAAATATTGCAAACACAGGAGTACACATTTTTCATTTTCAAAATACCTTTTTTGTGGGCTTTACAGCACGGGGTTTAATAGTAATCTAAAAAAGCAATAAGCTTCCAAAACTTTACAACAGGACATACACCAAGCTCCGGAAGTTCCAGTTTACTGCACTTTTCAATAACATGTGACCATGTAAAGTCAAAGATTAAATCGACAGTTACAATTTTTGCTATACTGTCAATCATAATAGAGCTCCATGCATATAGCCCACATAGTTACATGAACATTTGTACCAGCTGAAGAAAACCTCGTGTTTACTGAAAGGTCGGTCAAGAAGATTAAAGGAAGCATAAACGTAACTGTTAAAATGAAATTTTTGACTTTAGAGGTTGCATGTTATTGAAATATGCCTTAAAGATTTGTATTATTATTATTTTCTCATTAACAAGTCATACCTCACCGGTCAGGGATGAAGATCATATGAATCAGACTAAACGATTGCTTTACCGATAAAGATAAGTTTATTACTGTTGCAGTAAACCCTAATGAACAAACCAATGTACAAATTGCACATTGAGTGATACAGCTACACGATTCAGAACAACCATATAGTACAATTTAAAACACCACTTTATATAAGATGATGCACCAACCTAACCTACAGTGTAGTCAATAAGCTAACTATTGGGTAAAGCTTTTGGCAGAAGTTATGTAATAATATTGAACACTTGGTATTCTGTATTATAAAGTCAAACATCTACTTTTAAATGACAGTGGTAAAACAAGCTGTATTAATCTAGCAGTGCTCTTCAACATCAAGGAGTTTTTTCTTCTTCAGCACAACTTTCATTGTGCCCGACAATCTTCAAGTACAACGTTTGAAACTGCCACTTTCTTGCTAACATAAGTGCTCACAGTAAAATATTAGCTTCTCTTCCATTTTGAATAGCCAGCTGACACCGCCATGTTTAAGGACATGGATAGGTCAGACCAGGCTTTTGACTTAACAGCCATCTTCTCCAATAAACCATTCACCAGGCTACCAGGTAACAAATTGACACCCTTCGCAACATTGAATTGATAAAGTTTTCAGAAGAAGACTAGTTTCTCCGGTGATTTTGTCTGAATCTTTCCCTTTGTTGGTCTTGACTGATTTCTTCATCTTGTGTTTCTGTTTCCTTGTCATCACCTTCAGGCTCACCTTTTTCTTCCTACAAAATATAAAAATCATCAAGGAAAATTAACATAATTATTTTATAATGAATGAAATACATCATCATCATTGTCATCATCATAATAATAAAAATGTTATTTTTATTTATTTATTTTTATTTTGAACAATATTTATTCGGGGGTGCCCAGTTCAGCGAGGATGGTTTGAAAGGGGCCCTGATGAAAAGAAAAAAACAACACAAAAAACAATAACAGATTAAAACAAATTGGAACAACTAAGTATAGCAAAAGTATTGAAGGCTCAATTTGGCTTGGATCTAAAGTGCCTTTTTAAGCCAAACCCAAACTTATTTATATCATGCTTGCTCCTCAGGGCCAGAGGAAGCGTGTTCCAGATCTTGGTTCTGCTGTTACTTGATATATTTTGATGTAACATGATTCAGACAAAAAAAGAAAAGGAAAAACCTTGAGACACAGAAACTAGTGCATCAGAAAATTCAGAGGCTTGACAAAAGGGGTAAATTAAGTTAGCAGCATTCAAAGAAAGTGGTGTCCAGTAGCCTGGGGCAAGTGGATTTTGCTATTGGGCTAGTGAATTCTGTTCTTAACTTGCCCAATCAGCAAGTGATTTTGGGGGGGAATTCAAATTACAGAAGAACTGCAAACAATCCTGCTCATCAATTTTTTTTTTCAGGATAGTTGAAATGACTTTCGGGCTAGGCTAATACAAGCTGTAAAACTGACTTTCATTGCATCCTGGTTAGATGAAATAATAACATTTTCCAAGCATTAGAGAAAGGAAGTTACATCACAGGTCCCCCAGAGAACTTGAATCTACATGTAAAACATCCCAAACACCATGCATGCCAATTCCCTATCCACTGAATCAATGAGAGACTCATGAAGGATAGTACCATTTACAAAGTTAATATGTGGTAGTGTTCTTCATACTGAGTACTAGGATCAGCAATGTCCAAAACATACTGTTTGGTCAATAAAATAATATTCAATAAAACTATTGCCATCTTTATTTGTGAACAACAAAAAATGTCATGATCTTCCTTTATTGATCATTGGGGGTAGTTGTTAACAGTAAGATGCTTCCTAAAATGTAGTTTCATGCATGTGTTTATTTAGCATGATCTGTTACCTGTTCCTCCTCTCCTTCTAAGTCATCAAATCTGTCATGCACCCACAAAGGACTTCTTGAGCGTGCTCTTGATCTGTCCAACTTTTGCCGACGAGGCATCTCCCTGTCATCATGCTGTCAAAAAAGAAAATAATAATAATTCGAATTAGATTTCCAAACACTGCAACATGTGTTGGTTTCTTTAGAAACAGTAACATACCATGAAGTAACGTTTTCCCCGAGGGACGTCCTGTGGATTGACTTCAACTTCAATCATCCTCTGATCAAAGCCTCTTCCTCTGGGAGGTCCATTATCCAGTCTGTCAAAAACAGTGCGTCTTTGTTGGTTGACAAATGAAGGTGGGCTTCTGCCTCTTCTTGCTGCAAAATAAATAGAAATTTAAATGCTACAGGTTTGAAAGGCTTTATTTGTTAATATTATGTTGTGAAAATGTCACACCAACTTATTTTTATTTTTGAGCAACGTTAACACCATAAATTATTTTCAGTATTTGATTATTATTTGTCAAAATTATTTATAAATATTATCACCCAAAACCTTCTATGTCTGATTTTCACCCAGAGTGCAGAATTTTTTCTGAGCTTTCTGGTCTTAGAATTCTTCTTTTTTCCAAATGCTGTTTACTGCTAGCCTTCCCTCAAAATCGTACCACAGGCCTACTTACAAAATCGCTCATTTCTTTGCTTCCATCTCGACCCACGATCATCCTTGTCATCATTGTCTTCGGGCTCATCACCTTTTCTGGTGCGAGGACCAAGTCGTTCACTTATTCTTTGCCTCCTTCCTTCTCTGTTCTCCTCACGATCCATGTGCATTCTACGTGCACTTCTATCAGTTTCACGGCTTCCATCAGGAGATCTTTGTCTGTAGCGCCGTTCTCTTCTCGGCTCCGGAGAATGGCTGGATTGGTTTTAAATCATATGAGAAAATAACAATTTATTTTCAGCAACTGGCTATAGACCAAACTAATCTTTGTAAAGCAAAACTGTCAAACATGAGCAACTATCTAACAAGAAAAGTTTTGATAATCACTTTCTTGCAGTTGCCACCATTGATTGTTGCTGACAAGAGATGGTCACAAAAGGAGGCTTTGATTGCAAAGCCTGCTTCTGATATACCACTAATCTACCTGCACCATATCTGTCAGTACTATCTAGGATACTGTTCCATAAATTTATAAGGCAAGATAAACCATCGGCAACAAGAAAGATTACAGCTCCTTTCTGCCACCATGCCGGCAATGTCAAATTCAAGTCACCTTTGCAGGCATGGCAGCAGTAAAGACTGGGATGGCCTCTCTTGCTGGCAACTTCCATTCTCATTAGTAACCAAGGAGGTACGTTCTGGTGGCCATGTTGCGGGTAGGTCAGTGACATATGACAAACCAGGCTTCACCCTTTAAGTCCCAATAGTGACCAAGATCAATTTTCTCCTAACAACATCCAAACACTGTCAAGAGATAAGTTATGAGAATTAACAAAATGATCACCCAAGAGAAAATGCCTTGATCTATCATCAAATTCTCTCAACTAATTCTTTAAGGAAATGTATGGAGATCAGTTTGGAGAATTTGTATGTGGATACTGGGGCTTAAGAGGTTAACTAATTACAACAGTCACTAAAGAAGATAAGAAGCAGTCAGCTTCAAAAGAAACTCAGTTGCTGCATCCAGAAACAGTAAAACACAGAAATTTTCATTTCATCGTCTGAGTTAAGTTTCAGTATCTCTTTACAGTGCTAAATTTACCTTATCAACTTATTTGATGAAACCGTAATTAAATAGAAGATGAACATGCTCATAGTGCACCCATACCCGCCTTTATTATCCGCTAATAAAAGATTGCAAAGTATCACAAACATAACTTGAATTGAGGATTGGATCAAACGCTTGCTCGTGACTCCACTTTAGTTGGCTTTTATTTGCCATCTGAAATTCACATGAACCACAATCTACTAGAAGGCTAACAGATGTAGACAGTTTGGATTTTCCAGACGGTGCCTTCATCAAGATTGATCAACGAGTTCATTATAATCCGATCCATGGCGTTATCCCGTATCAAGTTCACTGCCGTTTGACCCGACTTCATTGTCGGGATATACTCTGTTCACATTCAAGAAAACTAATGCGTGTATCAGTATCAAGATATCAATGACGCTACCAACCTTAATCAACAAAAAAATGCAGCTAAGAGAAATTTAGGTTTTCAGCAGCTGTTTATGTAAGGTTCTTTCCCCATTATCAATCCAGCAGTTTGTTTTCAATTCAGGCAGGTGACTAAAACTAAGCCTTACCGTTTCTCCTGAGCTTTCTGGAAGGATTTAGATACCACGACTGCCGAGCTGATTCTTTTTCTGTCGCCCCTTTCGTTTGTTCTTTCCCTTGATCTGTCCGGCATGTTGGCGTTCTTCTTATGTAGCCGCTGGTAGTCGCTGCTGTTGTATCGAGTGCTCTCGTGGGCGCGAAATCTCTAGAACCCAGGCCCCAATTTACTCACACTTGCTTCCTGCTTGCTTCCTAGATACTTTTTCCCCGGGTGTCGGGGTGGGGCGGGTTGGGGGTTTTGGGGCGGGGATGGGGGAGGGGGTTACTGCCATATCTGCTTCAAGAGCCATAATGGCTCTTGATGGGCTATATAGCTATGTGGCCACTGTCAGGGTATGGTTTTCATGCAGTTTACTCTGCCGGATAGGGTATGATTTTCCAAGAAACTGATCCATTGGTTGAAGATTTTAGTCTATGTCTAGGTTACGGGAATCAGGAATTGTCCCTTAAAAATATAAAAAAATCAAATCAGCAAGTTTAAATTTACGCAGTTCAGCCTAAAAGCTGCTCTAGGACAGGGGAGATTTGGGGAGTTTAGTCTAGTACAGGGTAGCAAAGGGTCCTAGCGGCACATCCAAAAAATCCTCAAGTACCCCCTGTATCATCAGCTAAAACAAAAGTGCGTAAATGCCCAGCTTCACTAGAAACAAAATATCTGTTTAAACTGAACCACATTCATGTATTCTTTAGAGTATTATGAAAGTGATTGAATGAAGNTTTGTGGCCCCCCCCCTTCCCGAGAGTTTTGAAGGACCCGTGTCCCCGCCGGGGGATAGCCCGGTTCGGGGGGGTAAAGAAATAAGAGGAGGAAAAAAAATCTCCAAAAAAAAAAAAAAAAAAAAAACCAAGTGGGGTGGGCCCCCCCCCCCCCCCCACCCCCACTTGTTTTCGCGGTGTACAATTAACTCGCTCGCTCCCCACTTACCGCCGCGCTCTACTATCTGAACGCCTGGAACAGGCTACCGGGGGAAGGCTGCCGTGCCAAACAGCATGATTTTAGCCGCCTCCTCCGCGAACGAGCTTTGCCAGTAGATGGTTCGCCCTTCGGCTGAACTGAGGCGTTGTGCGCACTGGGATCGTTAAGCATCATGGGCGGTGTTCAAATTTAATCATTTGTGTCAAGATGGCGTGGAGTGAACACCTCGCAGGAGGCGACTGTGGAGAAGAATATTTGAATATTCGCCTAGGCTGAACTGCATACCTCGCCCTCCGAAGCGTCCGACCACACGCCCGCGAAAAAATTCTGCGGTACCCAGGGTATGAGTATATACCTGCTGTAGTTAACTTCCTATCTCGGGTAATTTTTGTTTTAATAGTTTCAACTTCATTAGCATACATTACCATACCCAAAAACAAAAGAAAAACAAAAAATACCTGAGTTGAAAAAATAACTACAACATATCCCTCTTTCCCTCTTCTTGAGAAAAAGAAGTTGAACAAATGAGGACAATTAGTTAGATAACCTCTGAGTGTGTACAAGACTAGACCAGTCTAATTTCTCTCTGTTTATTAATTTGTTAATATTATTAACAGTTTGCTCTTGGTATTTACTTTTTAAAATTACCACTTATTGAAACCAAACATATTTAAAAATTCTCCTAAAATCCGCAAGAGTTCTTTCACATTATTTGTCATTTCTAAAAACATTATTTTGATCTTTAGCTCGACCTATTAAGCTCTCTTTACGATTGAGATAACTCGCACAATTATTTCCTCTACCATCATTATATATAAATGATGATTTTCGCGATACACACCTCAAAATCATAAAGGTGAGAGACGTACCAGCATTTAACGGAAAGGGAAAAAGTTACAGCGCGCAGAAATATTCAGCAAACTTTTGTTACTACTCGCCTGGCTTAGTTTACTTTAATAGCTTGGTGGGCAGACTGATTCATTTAGCTACTTCACTTTTCCAAGTTAAAAGGTACACTACAATGTTTAGTTAAGAATTAAAGAGTTAATAATAATAGAATTAATCCACGTTAATCCTCTTATGAGGGGTAGGGCGAAATGAAGCCAGCGGGAAGAGACGAAAAGGGGATCAACTCTTTCTCTACTGAAAATAGACTGAACAGGCTTCGCTTGCCTTATCCCTAGCCATATGCAAGCTAGCATGTACATGTTTTTGAAAAATATTTGAAAAGCAATCAAAGAAGTTGATCCACTTTGCCCAGCTTCTCTTGCTTTGAGTTCGTTTCTTCTTTTGATAATCATTCACTTTTGTTGTTTACTTCACTTAGTTACTAAATAAATCAAGCTTTGCATCTGATTGCGGCATGTTCTGTTGAATATAACTCGCTATATCGTCTGCACTCATGTCTTGTACCGCCACTTCACTGACTGATGTTGTTGCCTTAAACAAGTCCTCATCCTCCTCTGTCGTTGTAAAAGCTGATTTTGTGGGAAGGTTAAATATGTCGTCCAGTGTTTCGTCCTCACGTGATGGTGTTCTACAGCATTATAAAATGATCACCCAAGAGAAAATGCCTTGATCTATCATCAAATTCTCTCAACTAATTCTTTAAGGAAATGTATGGAGATCAGTTTGGAGAATTTGTATGTGGATACTGGGGCTTAAAAGGTTAACTAATTACAACAGTCACTAAAGAAGATAAGAAGCAGTCAACTTCAAAAGAAACTCAGTTGCTGCATCCAGAAACAGTAAAACACAGAAATTTTCATTTCACCGTCTGAGTTAAGTTTCAGAATCTCTTTATAGTGCTAAATTTACCTTATCAACTTATTTGATAAAACCGTAATTTTAAAAATAGAAGTGAACATGCTCATAGTTAACCCATACCCGCCTTTATTATCCGCTAATAAAAGATTGCAAAGTATCACAAAGATAACTTGAATTGAGGATTGGATCAAACGCTTGCTCGTGACTCCACTTTAGTTGTCTTTAATTTGCCATCTGAAATTCACATGAACCACAATCTACTAGAAGGCTAACAGATGTAGACAGTTTGGAGTTTCCAGACGGTGCCTTCATCAAGATTGATCAACGAGTTTATTATAATCCGATCCATGGCGTTATCCCGTATCAAGTTCACTGCCGTTTGACCCAACTTCACTGTCGGGATATACTCTGTTCACATTCAAGAAAACTAATGCGTGTATCAGTATCAAGATATCAATGACGCTACCAACCTTAATCAACAAAAAAAAGCAGCTAAGAGAAAGTTAGGTTTTAAGCAGCTGTTTATGTACAGGTTCTTTCCCCATTATCCATCCAGCAGTTTGTTTTCAATTCAGGCAGGTGACTAAAACTAAGCCTTACCGTTTCTCCTGGGCTTTTTGGAAGGATTTAGATACCACGACTGCCGAGCTGATTCTTTTTCTGTCGCCCCTTTCGTTCGTTCTTTCCCTTGATCTGTCCGGCATGATGTTGGCGTTCTTCTTATGTAGCCGCTGGTAGTCGCTACTGTTGTATCGAGTGCTCTCGTGGGCGCGAAATCTCTAGAACCCAGGTCCCAATTTCCTCACACTTGCTTCCTAGATACTTTTTCCCGGGTGTCGGGGTGGGGCGGGTTGGGGGTTTTGCGGCGTGAGACGGGGGGGGGGGGGGGGGGGGCGGGGTTACTGCCCTTTCTTCCTCCAGAGCCATAATGGCTCTGGATGGGCTTCATCGCTATGGGGCGCCTTCCGGGGTGTGGTGTGCAAGACGTTTCCTGGGGGACAGGGGATGATTTTCAAGAAAAT